TCATAGCTTCATTGAGCTACACAAGCCCCTTCGCCACGACAAGGCAGTGATCCATGAAGAGGCACTCTTCATGTATGTGCCTTGAAGAGTGCCTCTCTCTTGGGAAGAGTATCTCCCAAGTATCTTTGGGAGGCACATACAAAATATGTGATTTTGTCAGGATTCCTGGGGAAAATGTTTCTGCGTACAAAACAGAATTTCATTACTCATTATCTGTTTTTTTCTAGTGCCTTTCACGGGATGCAAGTGGAAATCTTAGCATTCAATATCTTGGTACAGTGGTAAGTAAAATCTGCTGCACCTTTTCTTTTTAGATACAAGGTGTGTTTTTTTTAGTTATGCATACACTTTCTTGTCACTTGTTACCATTCCATATCAATGAGTTGGCCCACACAATACAGCAACCTGCACTTGTTGAACTGTGGATTGTTGTGTTGTGTGAATACTATTGTGCTACCAAGTCATGGTTTCTTAACTATGAGCAACTCACAGTTCAACAACAAACCAGGGGTTTTCTTTATGTTTATTCAACACAATCCATAGTTCAGCAAAGCTCAATCCAGACAAGACGGAGGTCCTGTTGGTCGGTGGATCGGGCTTCAGGGAAGGGGACCTTGTCCTAGTCCTGAATGGGGTTGCACTCCCTCTTAGGGACAAGGTCCACAGCTTGGGAGTGCTTCTCGACCCAGAGCTTCCACTGGAAGCTCAGGTGACAGCGGTGGCGAGGAGCGCTTTCTTCCAGCTTCGGCTGGTCCATCAGCTGCGTCCCTACCTGGAGAACGACTGCCTGGCGACAGTGACACATGCATTGGTGACTTCTCGACTTGACTTCTGTAATGTGCTCTATGTGGGGCTGCCCTTGAAGACGGTCCGGATACTTCAATTGGTTCAACATAGAGCTGCCAGGCTGCTGATGGGGACTGGGCGTTATATTCACATGACTCCAGTTCTCCGTCAGCTTCACTGGCTCCCCATTGAAGTCCGGGCCCAATTCAAGGTATTGGTTATGACCTATAAAGCCCTTAACGGCTTGGGTCCTGGTTACCTAAAGGAGCATTTATGTCCATATGTGCCTGCCCACCCCTTGAGATCAGTGGGAGAGTCCCTTCTCCAGGAATCCTCCGTGAAGGATATTAGGAGGATAAGTACTCGGAGGATGGCTTTCTCTGCGGTGGCACCCAATCTATGGAATGCGCTCCCCAGAGAGGTCCGCCTGGTGCTGTTGTTATTTGTTTTTCGGCGCCAGGCGAAGACCTTTTTATTTAAATGTTATTTTAATTGCTAATATTATTTATTTATTTTACATCTTTGGCCAGAACATCTCCAATTATATTGTTTTATATTGTTATTATTTATTTGTTGTTGTGAGCTGCCCCAAGGCTTCGGCGAATGGGGTGGCATAGAAGCTTTCTAAATAAATAAATAATAAATAAATATTTGGCCTTGAGATTAGATTGCCATGGCAAGTGTCCCCAGTCATTATCATTCATGTATCAGGATCCCTAATTTTGAAATGGACTGGAAGAAAAGAAGCTCTTGAGCAGCAGGAATTCAAAGCATTTTCTTCATCTTTTCAGAAGTACTGAAAAAACATCAGTACTTATGAATATCAGCATATTTTTTACAGAGCAGGTACAGGATGATAAGACTCTGTTTATAAGCAGCAACATATTGTGGGGTGTGAGAGAGAAGCATGAATGCACGCATGCGCACATGCACACACACACGGTAACAGCAGCTGGAAGTAAGGAACATCTGTCTATCTTTCCCCCATCTAAAGGCCATCTTAGACTGTATCCTTTTCATCTTAAAGGCCCAACAGGATTCTGTGGTCTTCGAGGTGATAGCAGATACATTAAGAAAGCCTCAGGAGATGGTGAAATCCCAGCTTAATAGTAATATCCTCACTATTAGTACTTGAAAGAACAGACTGAAGAGCCTGTCTGTTGAGAGGAGGACCAACTCTCTAGCTTCCAGCCATATCTTAAACCACAAATGAGTAATCCACAGCCTATGGGATATGTGCAGCCTTCATCTTTAACACATGGCCCCTTTTCTTGCTGCTGTTGGAGCAACAAGAGCACCATCCCAGCATAAGAATAGTTTGTAGGTGGTTCAATGCTGTAGTTTGCTGCTGCTGTTGGAGAGAAATAGCAGGCCATAAAAGAAAAAAGGCGCACACACATGGGCTAAACACAGAATGTGGTGGCCGGAGCAGCTGTTTGGAACTCTAGGCACTCTGCTCTGTAATTTGAACGTTTGAGTTTGTCTGTTTATATGGCTGGGAAAAGAAAAGTGGGAGACACAAACTGAGGTTGGTTAGTTCTGCCTTTGCCTTACCTTTGTCCATTCATTTATTAATGGAAATGCTGAAGTATAACCAGAACAGTCAGCAGAATTTATATTAAATCTGCTAGTCGTAACAAAGATCTGGGATGTAAAGGAGGGGAAACATGGAGCAGTTTGGGGTAGAGAGGAAACCAGGGTGAGTCTTGGAGACAATCAGTCTAGCAGGTCTGAGAGTCGGAGTCATAGTGGGTGATTGTGTGTGTTGGTGCGAATGAGTGGGGTCTGTGTCACTAAGAGAATGAATGGAAGAAAAATTATGGATGGATGAATGAAGAAGGCTAGAATGGCAAAAGATGTTCCTACCCACTTGGTGAGGCCCCATGTCCTTTGGGATTTGTCACTCTTCTACTACTTTTTCCCTGGGAAATATGAACCTTAACTCATTAAAGATTGCTCAGTCCTGCCTTAAAGTACATCTTAATGCAACCTGTAGATGCTACAGTGGGAATTCTTTTCTAGCAGTTTATTAAGTACTTAGTATGTAAATGGGGAACTAATCCTGAAAACTCATGTTTAGGGAGGTAATGTCCTGTCCTAGTTTGGTTTAAATAAATATGTTTCTTTTTCATGTGAGAATTACAATAAATTAAAGATCCAAATTCTTGAAGGACGTTTATGCAAGTTCCCATGTTATTGACGCATGTCTTTCCTCTTCATTGGCATTAGTTCGCAGAGCTTAGTCTATCAGAAAAGATCATTCTGTTTGTCATGGGGGGATAACTTCAGATGAAATTGTTTGCTTGGTGGTTGTTTTTTCCTGCCATTAGTTAGCTAAACCATTCTGCCATTGTCATACTTATCAAATATGTCTATGTTGCAACTCAATTGGCAAAGAAACTAAATTATGACTCTTGATTAGCACCCTTGTCATTCTCTAAAGAATAAGCTATATTCTAATGGAAAAACTAACATTAAGAGTACCAGAAGAATTGCTTAAAAGAACACAGTCCATGGGTGTAAACACTCTTCTCTATGTTTTCTGTTCATTTATAAACATTTAGAAATGCTTTTTCTCTTCTAAGGTAGAACTGGAAAAAAGTGTACCATGTCCCAGTTAAATTAGATGCAAGCTGAGCTCTGTTACATTGACATTTTCACAAGCTTTTGGTAATTTTGTCTGCTTTACATTAACAGCAACCTAATTTTAATGTTAATATAATAATCAATATATTATTTTTATATTTTGTATAATTATAGCTAGATATACTAATATCTAGTAACATAATATAACATAACTCTATAAGTACTTCAAAGGCTGTCACAAAGAGGAAGGAAAAACCACTTCTCATTCATCACTGAGCATAGGACACAGAACAACAAACTTAAACTGCAGCACATCAGAGTCAGGATAGACCAGGAAAAACTTTCTAACAGCCAGAGCAATATGACAGTAGAACCAGTTGCCAGGAGAGGTCGTGGTATGTCCCACACTAGAGATCTTCAAGGCAAACTGGACAATCATCTGATTGGGATGGTGTGATCTGGCATTTTGCATCAGCAGGTTTTTAGACCCAGTGGCCTTCTTAGCCCCTTCCAACCCTACTATTCTATGAATCTATAATGATGCAGTGCTACTGAAAATTCTTGACACTTTATAGAATGATAGAGATACACAAGAAAGCAGCTCCTTCAGCTGAGTTAATTCCAACATCTTTGTCAGTGTGTAGTAATTCTCAGACAACCTTGAATGCAAAGATTAGTGCAGCCTCTCCAGAGCAATTTTGTTTCATATGAAGACTGTGAAGATTGTATTTGATCAACAGTATTGTGATGCTCCTTTTTCCACTGCTGTGACCTGAACTACATGGCAGTTGAATGGATAGCCCTGTCATGCTGTAGGGTTAATTAACCTACTTCAGGTGACACCTTCAAGGGGGATAAATGAAGGCAGGAATTGATGCTTGAATGGTTCAGCAAATCTCTATAAAGTGCCAGTCCTAATTATGGAGATGGCATTAATTGGGCACTTCAGGTAGCAAAATGTTTTGGACCAACACTAGAGTATATTTTATGAAGTCTCTTTTTTAAGAAGTCTTCAGGTTTAAAATTAATATGCAGATGATGACTTCTTATTAACTATGCCACTATCAAATCAACTATTCCTGTGTACATATAATTAATAAAAGTGTAAATCTTACTTTCTGTTATTACATTATTTAGTAATATTTACTGCAGAATAATGAGGGGGAAATAAGGATAAATACTAAGCTTATTTCCATGATCAAATAAGCTATCATGGTTTAGATAAACCTTAAATAAAACCTATCATGGTTTAAATAAACCATGATAGCCTTCAGAGTCTGCTGGAGCATGAATTATGAATATTGTGAATATTCAAGCTGTGGCTTGTTGTGACATCCAGGTGTGGACTGCAGGGATTGTGTGAGAGTTAAACAGCCTGATCTAGGATTATTCCTTATGTAACCCACACATGATTTGGCTTTAGACTATACAACAAGCTGTGGTGTACATATGCTAAAACTGCCTTGCATTCACTGAAGCCCAGCCTGGCTTAAGTAAGTCATGAAAATCAAGTCAATATCCCAAACTGATTTGTTCTGAAATGTAATGTATAATGTTTGCATATTTTAATGAATTTATTCTCAATCATCTGATTTTTCCATGCATGAATATTATAGGTTAATTGCATCATAATAGCGATTTTTGCAGCAGCAGATAGAGTAACCATATTTATATACTGCTATTTTCTACAGTCTTTAAAATAATTTAACAGAACAGTTAAAGAACTGGCAGATATTTGCAGCCTGTCATTTTTGCAATATAAAATAAGGTATTATGCCAATATAGATTACCTTTTTACAGAATTCAAAAAAAGTGCAAATAATGGCAAATTCTTTGCAAAAGTGCAAATTCTTATTCTCAACATTTTTTGCAGACTTTTTGAATGTTTCATACACTATTTATCTCATCT